ATATGTACTAATGCAGTGTTAAGCTGCAGATTAACTGTAGAAGACATAATGGTTGTAACACAACTTTATTCAAAAACTGTTACCGTTAATTTGTAGAAGACACTTGATATCTATCTAGATATTATATATCAATAAAGATTACATGCTGTACATATATTTCACTATAAAAAAAAAAAAAAAAAAATTTTAAATAAGTAGGCAAATTTGTCTACGTTACAATTTAAGGAATATTATATTAATATAAATTATAATTTAAAATCTAAATATACTATTTTTACTATTATTACTTATAAAATACATATGTATAGTTAATAATATAACTAGTAGTTAATTATTGTTTATTTTATTTTTTTTCTTTTATTTGAATTTTAAAAAGTTTATATATATTATATAATAGATTGTAATTAATCTATTTATTTTAAATATTAGAAATTGTTATTATAATAATAGATAAACAAAATTTTAATAAATATTTTGTATTTAATATTTATTTATAAAAAAAAAATCAAAAATCAAAAATCAAAATATGAAGAACTTCAAGGAAAAAATATAAAGAAATAACTGTTATGAATTTTTTTTTATGCAATTCAAAGAAAAAACAAGACTTCCAAACTTGTTTTTCTCTAATCAGAGATTATATTTCAATACATCAGATTAGTTTCTTAAAACTTTTTTAATAAAAATAAAAAAAGTATAAAGAATTTTTAAATATTGAAAAATGAAAAAAAAATTACTATAAAAGAAATTTTTAAGAAAAGTTTTATGTATAAACAAGAGTTTTTTTGCTTAAAAAACTTATATTTTTACTGTTATTTAAATCTTATTTTATAGGTATTTTTTTGAAATAATTAGTTTTAAAAAGGTTTATTATTAAATTAAAATAAAATTTCAATAAATTTTTATAAAAAAATATTAGATATTATAAAGTAATTATCAAATTTATTAACATTTTATTATCTTATAATTTTACAATTTTAATATTTATTGAATCAGTGTATAAATTAACTTTTTATTATTTTAAATCAGTTTAACCATTTCTATCTAAAGTTAAACTTGATATCTTGTGATATAAATTCTGAAATACTAATTATTATACTATAAATTCATGGATTATAATAAAATATTTATAAGTAAATATAGTATTTTTATATATTTTTCAAATTATTTTCTTAATTAGAAAAAGACTTTATTGAAATATTAAGACAAAAATCTTTTTATCATTTTGGATTTAATTTAATTAAGATTATTTTTTAAAAAATAGATATTCTTTAAATTCTTTCTAAAAACTACTACTTGAACACGAGATAATAATTTTAATTGACTTGAAATTTTATATATAATCATTTAATAACTTCACTTTTCAATCAAACCATTTTGATCATAATATATAATAGTTTAAAAAAAAGTATGTAGCGACCGTTACAATTTATTTTTAGAGAATATCAATGACATCATATTTTTTTTGAGCGAAAAGACAACTTTATTTCCACAAAATAAGTAAATAAAGATAATTATGAAAAGGAAGTCTATTAACACAAAAGGTTATATAACATTTGTACGAATCCACACTCGTTATTTAACATCTAACAAACTGGTCACAGCTAGAATTAAATTTGCAAGTCACTTTGACCTATTCGTTTCAACTTATATTAATAAATAGTAATATTATTGAGAACTCGTCGTTTCGAAAAAATTGGTCAGTAAAATGAAATTCAAATAATCATTAATCTAATCAGATTTATGGAAGGTATAAATCATTTAAATATACAGTATAACTTATTTACCAAAATTTAATGGTTTCTTCTATTTACTGTTTATGTGAATAATTTTGGATTCAGCTGTCAATGTTTCTACGATACTATTAGCATTAGCTACTATTTGATCTAAATTCCTTTTTTGATCAGGTATCATTCCCCATTCCTTTGAGTCTTCATAGCCCGCACCAAAATCATCATCCAATACTTCAGGATGGTCCTGCGCGTATCTGGTAAATGCTCTTTGTAAACTCTCAATCATAGGATCCCGATAAATCAATATTGCTGCATGTTCTCTATTTATTCTATCAATAACTTTAGTTAATCTTAGTTGATTACGCGGGTGAATTACATAGTTTTCATCATCAGTAAAATAATGTTGACGCTGAAGCAGTAGCTTTTGTTGTGTCCGTGAACTGCTACCTGGCAGCGGAAATTGAGGCTGATAATCGAAAGGTTCAGAAGAATAGGAATCGTCGGTTTGAATTGGACCATTGGATAAATTGTTATGGTTTCTCGTATTTCCGTTGCCGTCAACACTATTAAGGGGTGTGTCTAAAACTTTCTCAGTTGGTGAAGCAATCGGTGTTACTTCATCAGCTGAGTCTAATGGAAGATTATCATGGATAAATTTACTGTTTGTGATAGGATTAGGAGGCTGTTTCGTTATTTCATTTGAGATTATCTGTTCATTATTAGGAGAGTCTGAAGAGGTCATATTTGAAGGTTCGGCTTTCTCATCAACTTCTTCAATATTCTTTTCAGTGAGAAGTTTTTGATGTTGATCAGAAGGGATGGCGTCAATAACGGTGGTTTTTGTTTCTGAAGGTGGAGGCGTTTGAGTGTTAGTACTAGTATCAGCAACCGCTTCAACTGTTTCTGAAACAGGTGACTCGGCATTTTGTTGTTTTTGTAATTTTCGAGAATTCCTTTCCTCTGCAACCTTTGCTATCTCTTCAGCGGGGTATGGCTTATAAAATCTTTCTTTTGTATTTCTGTGACTTTCGACCGCCTCATTTATATTATTAGGCAATTCTACTCTCTCTTGAGGGTTCACTTCATGAGTTTCACTGTTTCTATCGATCACTTCGTCAGTACCGGTCACGAAATTTTTCTTATTTGTTTGTGAAGTCCCTTCATTAGGCTGTACTGTAGGAACTTGTTGGATTTGGTCTTGCAAAGTTGATGTTTGTTCAACTTCATTTTGAGATTTCACAGAATTAGTTGTTAGTGTGGCAGCCGTAGGCACAGAGGACATAGTGAAAGAATTTCGGAATACTGATCATATGCGTAACACTTTAATCATCATATAAATATATATGCTGATTACATCTATAGATAAATGATTATTTATTATTATTCGAATTTTCAATCTTTTATCTAATATTTCATAATGGACGAAATTATTACTAGATTAAAAAACAAGTAATTGGTGTTAGTTTCCTTTGTCTTTTATACACAGCTTTCCGTTAGCATTTGCGCAAACTTTACGAGTGTAATTCTTTTATTTTTTACCAGAGATAAAACCATCCAACAAAAGGCCGCTCATGATCTCCGAGCCCTAGTAAGTTTCATTTTACTAGTTAAAAATTTATTTTAGACATAACAAACTTTTCTAAATTATTTATTGTGCGAATGAAGGTCGAAGGGCAACCTAACCTTCTAAATGAAGCAAATAAACGGATATTTGAAATGATGCAGGGAGATACACCTGATTCTCATAAGATCGGTGGTATTCTCGCAATTGGTGAATAGATCTTTGCTGCTTGCCACTGTTATTCTATTTAATTATCAAAATAACATAGCTCAATAAATAAAAAATTCCTTTATACAGATTCATTAATCAATAACAATATCGAGACGACAACACTGTCTCGGTTCACTAATTATCTGAAAATGGTTCTTCCAAGCGGAGATCCAGAAATCATGAAGTTAGCGTCAAGGGCTCTTGGTAATAATGAATTTAGTAATTATTAAATCGTTGATCATGGACCATTTGGCTTAAATTATGATTTAAAATTCTGCAGGAAAGTTGGCAGCACCGAGTGGTGCAGTGACCGCTATATTTGTACAACGGGAGGTTAATACTGCATTAGAATACTTACAGGGTAATATTGGAGTCTGTAGTCCTGGTTGAATTATTTCATTATATTATGATGTTTAACTGATGCGAACTTCGCATACAAATACAGGAGATCGCCATGAGCAAAGGCGATATTCAGCCGCTCTCGTCCTTCGTGAATTAGCACAAAACGCTCCAACACTCGTATACACGCACGTACCGGTAATCCTGGATTCGATATGGGTTGGTTTGCGTGATCAAAAACAGATCATAAGAGAAGCGTCGGCGGGAACTTTGAGTGCATGCTTGAAAATCGTGTATGAACGTGAAAGTGCCCAAAGAATTCAATGGTATACAAAAATTTACGAAGAATCCGCAAAGGGATTAAAGCAAAGTAACGCAGATCAAATACATGGATCTCTTTTAGTTTACCGTGAATTGTTGAATCATGCACGAGCTGTAAGTAAAACTTTTGGTCCAATTTTTCGCATCATTTATTTCCCAATAATCTTTGTTTTTCAAATATGTAGTTTATGCACGAGCGATATAAAACCGTGTGTGAGACCATTTTACGCTATAAGGATCATCGAGATGGTCTTATCCGGCGGACCGTTATTTCCTTAATACCAGTCCTAGCCGAATTTGATGACAAAGAGTTTGTCGCCACTAACGTTCACAAGTGCATGGTCTATCTTTTAGCACAACTTAAAAGAGATCGAGACAGATCCAACGGTATGTATATATGGCTTGTCTAAATTGCTTTATTATTTTAACGTGATATTGATTTTGCATATTGTGGAATTTTATGCAGCTTTTATCGCTATTGGTCAAGTTTCTTGCGCTGTCGGTAGTAATATGGGCCCATACCTTGATTCTATATTAAATAATATAAAGGAGGGGTTGTCTACCAAGGCGTGAGTAAATTCTCTGTCAAATTTTTTAAATGTTAGCAATGAAGGTTGTGTTTCAATTTTTCAATTTTCTGTTCTAAAAGTCGTAATCGTGGTGGAAATGAAGCTCCATTGTTCCAGTGTATTGGAATGTTGGCTCGCGCAGTAGGCCAAGCGCTTACAAAACACATGCACGAACTATTGGATTTAATGTTTGCGTGTGGGTTAAGTGAATCCTTACGTCAAGCTTTGATGGAGTTGGCTGAATATATACCACCTCTACTTGCAAACATTCAAGGTATTATTATATGTAACTAGTTCACTTATTATCCATTGTCTTTATTCAATCTTTAATTTATTGTTTTAGAACGTCTTTTAAACATGTTATCATTTACGTTGAGTGGGCAACCATTTAGACCACCTGGTTCTCCTGCACCTGAAGGAAATGATCTCAGACGTCATCTTGGAAACCAAATTTCCGAGCTGAAAGATGTTGATACAATAATACTTGCATTGAAAACTTTAGGAAGCTTTAATTTCGAAGGTTAGTTGATTCCTCTCCTGCTTACGCTACATATTTTCGTTCTATGGACTGTTTTAATAACCAAATTAACATATTATTTTGAAATAGGTCATATCTTGAACGAATTTGTTCGAGATTGTGTAGTACGCTACCTGGAAACAGAAAACAATGAAGTCCGTCAGGCAGCTGCTTTAACTTGTTGTCAGTTGTTCGCTAACGACCCTATATTGGATCAAACAAGTAATCATGCGATTCAAGTGGTTAACGAAGTATTAGAAAAACTTTTGACAGTGGGTGTTGCTGACACTGGTAATTGACATTTAAAATTAGCGCTTTAAAACTTTGGAATGACATTTGAGTAAAATGAATAATAATTATGGATTTCTTTATTTGTTTTATGCCCATAAAGATCCAGTAATACGAGAGACAGTTCTATCAAATCTTACTGAAAGATTTGATCGACATTTAGCGCAAGCAGAGAATATTAGATCATTATTTATTGCTCTCAATGATGAAGTATTTACTATTCGTGAGATTACTATTACGATTATCGGCCGTTTGGCATCACATAATCCCGCATACGTGATGCCTTCACTACGAAAAACATTAATTCAACTTTTGACAGAGCTTGAGTATTCGAGCGTTAGGTATGTATTTACATTCGAACATTATTTACATATATCTATATATATACAATATGTTAATATTACTTTACTTTGTAGTCGTAATAAAGAAGAAAGTGCAAAATTATTGAGTTTATTGGTTTCAGCATCACAAAGATTGATAAAACCGTATGTAGAATCCATTCATAAGGCCTTGTTGCCTAAATCTCGTGATCCGAGTCCTGCGGTGGCATCAAGTGTTTTAGCTGCACTGGGTGAATTAGCACGGGTAGGCGGTGAAGACCTAATTCCATATTTAGATGAATTGATGCCGCTTATTATTGATGCCCTTCAAGATCAAAGTTCGACGGTCAAGCGAGATGCGGCTCTCAAGACTTTGGGTCAGCTCACAAGCAATACTGGTTTCGTCATAGAACCATATCAAAAGTATCCAAAATTGCTGACTATTCTTATTAACATATTAAAAACGGAGCAATCGCTTTCCATACGCCGAGAAACCGTCAAGCTTGTTGGAATTCTTGGAGCCTTGGACCCTTATCGACACAAGGTAGATCGTGTTATTGATGAAAAATTACTCAACTAGATATTTTGTTGTTTTCGCCAATCATCTCCGTTTTATGTTCCAGATAACCATTGGATCAACAGATGATTCATTGACTGATCCTAAATCGAACAACACTGACATTTCTCTACTAATGATGGGAATGGGTCCTTCATCAGAAGATTATTATCCTACCGTTGTAATAAATGCGTTGATGAAAATATTACGTGACCCTTCACTGAGCGCTCACCATACTGCCGTCATTCAGGCGGTCATGTATATATTCAAAACCCTTAACCTTAAATGCGTACCATTCTTGCCACAGGTAAGTTCTATTTGAATGACTTGTTTTTACTTTCTAATGACGATGCAAATAAAATAATGTATATGTATATATATTTGAAAAGATTACCCCTGCATTCTTAGGTGTAATGCGAACGTGCCCTGGTGGAATGTTGGAGTTTTACTTCCAACAACTCGGTATCCTTGTCTCAATCGTGCATCAGCACATCAGAAATTATCTTTCAGATATTTTCGAATTAGTAAGGAATTTTTGGAACCCGAGCTCTACAATTCAGATAACGATTATCCATCTTGTCGAGGAAATTGCTAAGGCCCTTGATGGAGAATTTAAAAATCATCTTCCAACACTCCTACCAACGATGCTACAAATTTTTGATGAGGATATTAGTGACAAACGTCAACCTACTCAAAGAGTATTGCACGCTCTTGTTGTATTCGGCACGAACATCGAAGAGTATATGCATCTTGTTATTCCCGTTATTGTAAAACTTTTCGAGAAGCAAGACGTGCCTCACCAGTTGCGCAAATCTGCAATTATCACCATTGGTCAATTATCCAAAAAAGTGAACTTTTCAGATCACGCATCAAGAATAATCCATCCATTATCTCGTGTTTTGACCCATCAAAGTAATCAAGATTTGAAAAACGCAGCTATGGATACACTTTGTTCTCTTGTGTTCCAGTTAGGGTCCGATTATGCGATATTCATTCCAATGATAAATAAGGTATCAAATCTGAATTCACGTTGAGCGATATTCGTTTTATTTTTAAACATTAATCCATTGGTAATGATTTTCCAGGTTTTACAAAAGCAACGTATTCAACATCCTAATTATGATATGTTGGTGTCCAAGCTTTTGAAGGGAGAACCTTTGCCACCAGAATTGGGTACTGAGGAAAGGTGGTTACCTTTATTGTGTTTAAAATTATGAAATAGATCTCCCATTTTGTGTGCTCATTTAAGATGCATTTGTTTATTAGATATGGTGAGTCACGAGTTGAAGAAACCCCGACTGCCGAAGCAAATGCAAAAAAATTACCAGTGAATCAACAACATTTAAAAAATGCGTGGGAATGTTCGCAAAGGTCAACAAAAGATGACTGGCATGAATGGATCCGTCGTTTAAGCGTTGAACTCTTGAAAGAATCGCCGTCACATGCTCTTCGGGCCTGCGCAAGTTTAGCGGGTGTATATCACCCTCTGGCAAGGGAATTATTCAATGCAGGTTTTATATCGTGTTGGTCAGAATTGTATTATCAATATAAGGTAGCTCGTTTGTAACTTTGGGGTTGATTAATAGTTTTTCTATATCTGTATCTAATAATATTCATCATTATAGGATGAACTAGTTAATTCATTAATGTCTGCATTGAGGGCCCCAAACATTCCCCCTGAGATAGTCTCGACGATATTGAATCTCGCTGAATTTATGGAACACTATGACAAGTCTCTTCCTATAGAAATTCGAACGCTTGGTAATCATGCGGAAATTTGTCATGCATACGCCAAAGCTCTTCACTACAAGGAGCTGGAATTTATGACCGAAGCCACAACAGAAACGATTGAGAAATTGATCCAAATTAATAATCAACTTCAACTCCCCGATGCGGCAATTGGCATACTGACGCACGCGCAACAAACTCCTGGGTTGCATCTCCAATTAAAAGAAAATTGGTACGAAAAATTAACCAGATGGGAGGACGCCTTGGTTGCTTATGAAAAGCGCCTCAAAAATGATCCAAATGATTTTGAAGCAACACTTGGTGTAATGCGCTGTTTACATTCATTGGGTGACTTTGATAATCTATCCGATCTCGTTCAAGAAAAATGGCAAGATGCTTCAATTGACCAGAGAAAGGCCATGTCTACTTACGCAGCGGCAGGGGCGTGGTCATTAGGTAAATGGAACCTGATGGAGGACTATATTCCGACAATTAAACCAGAGTCTCCGGATCGTTCATTTTATCAAGCTGTTCTGGCTCTTCACAAGAATCAGTATGCCGAGGCCATACGTCACATTGATAAAACGCGGGATCTTTTGGACACTGAATTAACCGCTCTTGTAGGCGAAAGTTACAACAGAGCATATAGGTAAATATATATCTTTACAATGTTTTCTTTTTTAGTGATTTAGTTTCAATGAATATTTGTTAGTGTTGTCGTTCGTGTCCAAATGTTGGCCGAATTGGAAGAGATTATTACGTATAAACAATTTGCAGACCAGCCTGATAGACAGGCAACCATAAAGAAGACATGGATGAAGAGGTACGTAATATATTCTCCTTTTAAAGAAAGAAACGGCAATTCAATTCTAATAGAGAATAAACGGTTTCAGACTGAAAGGTTGCCAACGTAGCGTTGAAGTTTGGCAGCAGGTTCTCAAAGTTCGCGCTTTAGTTATTTCCCCTAAAGAAAATATGGAAATGTGGATTAAGTTTGCAAATTTATGCAGAAAAAGTGATCGTCTCGATTTGGCTGAAAAGACATTGAAGCAATTATTAGTAGGAGATCAAAAAATGGTTGTCCATCCATCGGTATATTGAGTCTCTTTTCAATTTTAGCTATATTTTCTCGATTATAAACTTACTCTTTCCTCGTGTTTGACAGATTTTATCTCGAGCCGCACCTCAGGTGGTTTATGCTCACCTGAAGTGGATGTGGGCTAGCGGTACTCGGGAAGAGGCGCTAAGGCTTCTAAAGGATTTTACGGCGGGAATGTCAAACGATCTTCGAATAGGGAATACTGGATTACTTGCTCGTTGTTATCTCAAAAAGGGCGAATGGCAAAAGGTTCTTCAAGAAGACTGGGATCCGGTTGGTAATCACTTCTTGTATAATATTAGGTTCCCGTTCGAGATTTGTTAACCGTTACTTCCATTTAATAATATAACAGGAAACAATCCCTGATATTCTCAATTCATACAATTTAGCAACAAAATACGATAAAGAATGGTATAAAGCATGGCATGCGTGGGCACTTGCAAATTTCGAGGTGATATCTCATTATGAGAAATTAAATTCCATGGATAATTCTCGAGAAGAGCAAAATATTACCTATGTTTCTGAAGAAGATGCAAATATCCACAATGAAGTATTGGCCTATGTAGTTCCGTCCGTGCAAGGTAACACAAGATTTAATTTAATTTTTTTAATTATATATTTCGGTTGTTAATGTTTAAATTATCATTAGGTTTCTTTAGATCAATAGCGCTTTCCAGAGGAAATTGTCTACAAGACACACTTCGATTGCTAACTTTATGGTTCAAGTATGGAAATCACGAAGAGGTTAGCAGAACGATTAAACAAGGATTTGGAAGTGTTAATATTGACACGTGGCTCGAAGTAATACCACAGGTCGGTTATACTCATAAAACCTTCAAATGCTCCCCACGTTTACTAATTGAGATTTTATTTTTGACAGTTAATCGCTCGCATACATGCTCCCAACGCTAAAGTTCATGAACTAATACATCAATTGCTGGTCGACGTTGGTAAAGAACATCCTCAAGCACTGATCTATCCGTTAACTGTTGCATCCAAGTCTCAAAGTGTTAATAGACAAAGAGCTGCCTCGGCTGTTATGGATAAGTTAAGAGCACACAGTGCTGTTCTTGTGGATCAAGTAAATATTGAGTTGAAATTACTTTATGGCGTTCTTCAAATTCATCGTCATGTTAATGTTACATTGTTTATATAGGCTTTATTGGTGAGCAAGGAACTCATCCGCGTTGCTATTTTATGGCACGAGATCTGGATGGAAAACTTGGAAGAGGCTTCAAGGTTATACTTTATAGACCGAAACTTCGATGCAATGTTCCAGATATTGGATGAGCTACAAGAACGTCTCGACGGTGGTGCCGAAACTTTGAGAGAGGTTTCATTTGTACAAACTTACGGACGAGAACTTCAGGAAGCTGGGGGATGGTGCAAAAAATACAAGCAAACTGGTGACATGACACTCCTTGCTCACGCATGGCAGATCTATCATGAAGTAATTGGATATTCATTTTGAACGATACGTGATTGAGGCGTTTAAATAATACTTATTTGCCCTATTATTTAAATAGCTGTTCAAGAAGATAACTGCACAAGTAGGAACAATAACTTCATTAGAACTTCAATATGTGTCACCCAAATTGCTAGCCGCTCGGGATTTGGAACTAGCAGTACCAGGTAACTAAATTATTCATTATCATTCACACAAGTGAAAGTTCTTTTGAGTTGCTAAATATATTTGACGAATATTAGGTACCTACAAGAGTGGTGAAAAAGTAACAAAGATCACAAGCTTTGTATCGACTGTCAGCATAATATCTTCTAAACAACGCCCACGAAAGCTTAACTTGATAGGCAGTGATGGAAAAGAATATCAATTCTTGCTTAAAGGTCTGATGAGCATCCTAATTAAGTGAACTATTAAAATACTTCATTCGTTAATTTAGTTTTTGGCACTAATGTAGGTCACGAGGATTTACGTCAAGACGAACGTGTTATGCAATTATTTGGATTGGTCAATACTCTGTTATCCGTTGATTCGGAAACATTTAAGCGTCATCTAAACATTCAAAGATACACAGTCACTCCTCTAACACCGAATATTGGGCTTCTTGGATGGGTACCAAACTGTGACACTCTTCATGCTCTTATTCGTGACTATCGTGAAAGTAAAAAGATCCTGCTAAATATAGAACATCGATTGATGTTACAAGTAGGTCATTTAAAAGTTCTAGTATCCCTTCTTGAAATTAAACTCTCTTTTAATCTTAATATTATTATTTAGATGGCACCTGATTATGATCAATTAACGATTATAGAAAAAGTTGAAGTATTTGAATATGCCCTGGCCAATACGACAGGTCAAGATCTATATAAAGTTCTTTGGCTTAAGAGCAAGAGTTCAGAAGCTTGGCTGGACAGAAGAACCAATTACACACGATCATTGGCACTGATGTCGATGGTAGGTTATATCCTTGGACTTGGTGATAGGCACCCGTCGAACATAATGTTGGATCGATATACAGGGAAAATTGTGCACATCGATTTCGGAGATTGTTTTGAGGTGAATCATTTAGATGATGCGGCATTGTATATTGGTAATCTTGTCTTGTACTTGAATTTATCATATCTTCTAATTATTAGGTCGCAATGACGCGTGAGAAATATCCCGAAAAAATACCATTCCGATTAACTCGAATGTTAATTAACGCAATGGAAGTTAGTGGCATTGAAGGAAATTTCCGTACCACTTGTAATGCTGTCATGAGCGTATTACGCAAAAATAAAGAAAGTCTAATGGCAGTTTTAGAAGCGTTCGTACACGATCCTTTGATAAATTGGAGGATCATGGCAAACCCGAGTCCTCGACAAGGTATTCACTTATTATATTAGCTAGACGTCGGTTTATTAAAAAAACCTCTTTCTTATTTTCTTCTTATTTACCCTTTTAGATGGAGAGAATATTAATGCTGGAGGTACAAGCAATCGTCGTGCGCGCGATATTATAAACCGCATTTCAAATAAGCTGACTGGTTTGTATTGCAAATTCCAATACATCACATTGCATTTATCATTCTTTGACATAATCGAATCTACGTGATTGTTAGGTAAGGATTTCAACCCCAACCAAGAACTCGATGTTCCGTCTCAAGTAGAACGTCTAATACAGCAAGCTAGATCGGTTGAAAATTTATGCCAATGTTATATTGGATGGTAAGTACTACATACATTTTTACACTTTACACATGATTGTTATTTGAATTTTTCAGTAACAAAATCATGATTTTTTGCAGGTGTGCTTTTTGGTAAAGAAAGGCAAGTTCTGTTTTCATAAAACTTTTTCTCTACAACCTCTGAACGATCAAAAAACAATCAATCTATGAACTTGTCAATCAAATAATAGGAGAAGGAATTCGTTTTTGTATATATGGGTGATACTTAGATGATTCGGATAACATAGCATAGAATAATTTATCACTGAAAATCTATTTAAATATGCATTTTTTTTTAGAAACTTATCAATAATAAAAGAACAAACTTTATACTATCCGCAAATTTAAATATTGATGATTTAATTATACAGTGTGGATCAAAATAATTGGAAAAAATCAAAACTCATATTTTATTCATAATTTGATAAATAATTAAATAATTAAAATAAAAATAGATATGGGTATATTTGGAGATATAAAGAATATAAATATATAAAAAAAATTATTTAAATATATTAAAATAATATAATTAAATTACAAT